GTGGATGTTAACAAATATTGTTAATTTTAATAAAAATGAAAATAATCAATGATTGAATATTAATAATTACCATTATTATTACCAATAATTGTTACTTTATTGGAATTCACAGGTTGGGGAAGGTTTGTAAAGCTTAATAATCTGCTAGTATAAATTGCATTTGGATGAATTGCTGCAGTAATTGTTGAAGGATCAAATTTTATTTCATCCATTTTATCAAACTCTCTTTCAATTGATTCATGTTTATCACCTGACCTATAATGTTGAAGTGAATCATTCCAAAAATTAATAGTCTCATAAATCTTTTTAGCAGTTGGACGTTTATCTGGGTTAGCATCCATGCATTTGAATGCTAGTTTAATATAGAATTTTGGAGTATTATTTGAGAATACGGGTCTTGCACCTTTACATATTTTTGCTGCAAGATATTCATCATGTGCCAAATTATTAAATGGTTGTTGACCAGTTGATACTACAGACATCAAAACTCCAAAACTTTATACATCTGATGCTTTTGTATATGGCTTCTTTTTTAAAACCTCTGGTGCAATATATGGTAGTACCCCACATATATCATTTTTATTTGATGATGATGTTTGACTAGCTGGGCATGATAATCCTAAGTCTGCAATAAATGCATATTTATTATTTTGAAGAATATTACCAATATGAAGATCATGGTGAATAATTTCTTTTTCATGAATATCTTTTAAACCTTTAATAATTTGTTGAAGAATATAAATTTTGTCATTCCATTTTAAATTTTTAAAATCTTTAGTTAAATAATTTTGAAGACTTCCATCTACTAGATAATCCATTACAAATATATATTCTTTTGTAATTGGATCTTGTGCTAATCCATAAATATGAATTATCTGACTGTTATCACGAAACTTCACATAATTTTTGAACTAAATAATAAATAAAATATTTAATTACAACAATAATATTTAAAAAATCTGAAAATAAATAGAAAAAATAAATAATTTACCTCATTATGAAATTCATTAGCAATATTTTGTGAATTATGTAGTTTTTTTAATGCCATAGGTATATCCTTACTAATTCTTTTGTAATCAGAATTTATACTTTTCTCACCATTTAACCAAGTAGCTTTGGATATAGTTGCAAACCCACCTTCGCCTATCTTTTCAATATTTGTTAAATCATTATAAGGAATCTATTGAAGATAATATTTATTATTATACTTAGTTGCTTTAAGTTGTGTACTTTTAATCAACTCATCTAATGTTTCATTCCCACTAGTCCATCCTACAGTTAATAACTTTGGATCACATGATTGACACCATGAATAATCAGTATTATATCTATTGCAGGTTGGATACTCCCCATATTCTTCCTTTCTTTCCTTTGAATATTGATCTTCATAATCTTGAAGACTTCCATCTTCCATATATTCCATTACAAAGATATAATCTTTTGTAGCTGGATCTTGTGTTAATCCATAAAGTTTATTTATGAATGATTTACCACAAAATGTAACATAATTTCTGAACTAAAAATGTATATTGAATTTCAGAATAATATTTAAAATCAGAAATTAATAGAAAAATAAAATAATTTACCTCATTAAAAAATTCATCAGAAATATTCTGTGAATCATGTAGTTTTTTTAGTGCTACAGTCCTATCTTTGATAATTCTTTCATGATAATAATTTATATATTTCAAACCATTTAACCAAGTAGCTTTAGATACAGTTGCAAACCCACCTTCACCTATCTTTTCAATATTTGTTAAATCATTATAAGGAATCCATTGAAGATGATTACTATAATGATACTTAGTTACTTTAAGTTGTGTGCTTTTAATCAACTTGTCTAATGTTTCATTGCCACTAGTCCATCCTTCAGTTAATAGCTTTAGATCACATGATTGACACCATGCTGGTTTAGTATTATATTTATTGCAAGTTGGACATTCTCCATATTTTTCTTTTCTTTTTGAATATTCATCATTTTTGTCAGTAGAGGTATTGTCATGATGTTTATTTTCATCCAAAATGTTTTCCATTGTGGTTTTTGTATATTTGTAAAATATTATTAAATATTTATCTAAAAAAAAATTAAAATTTTACCTTAACTACAACAATTCAGCATTGACACCCTAAAGTTGTAAAACTGTAATAAATATTGCAAGCATGCAATCAGAGTTATTGGAGTCACCAAACCTGGCAATCTAAATTAAAATCACTACGTACAACTATACTGCTTGATTTAGGGCTTCTATTTGAATAAGGGCTTATTTGAATTATTTGTTTTACTTGTTATGAATTTGAACATTCAAATTACATTGAAAGTTTATTCAAATAAAATAAATAACAAATAATTTGATAATTCGATAATTCAAATAAACGAATAATTCAAATAAAACAAATAAACGAATAATAATAATTCGAATAAAACAAATAATTCGAATAACGAATAAACAAATAGTTTGAATAAAATTAATAAACAAATAATTCGAATAAATGAATGACAAAAATTTGAACAATAAAATGAATAAATGAATAATTCAAGCAAAACAAATAGTTTGAATAAACGAATGATATAATTCAATTAATAAACAAATGATGACAACAATTCGAATAATAAACGAATGATACAATTTGAATAATAAACGAATGATCTCAATTCGAATGATAAATGAATGATGACAACTATTCAAATAAACAAATGATATAATTCGAATAATAAACGAATGATCTCAATTCAAATGATAAACAAATGATGTCAATTCGAATGATAAACAAATGATAATAATTCGAATAATAAACGAATGGTCTCAATTCGAATGATAAACAAATGATGTCAATTCGGATGATAAACGAATGATGACAACAATTCAAATAATAAACGAATGACAATAATTCAAATAATAACAATAAATGATGTCAATTCGAATAATAATAATAAACGAATGATGTCAATTCGAATAATAATGATAAATGAATGATGATAATTCGAATAATAATAATAAACAAATGATTTCAATTCGAATAATAACAATAAATGAATGATAAAATTCGAATAATAAAGAATGATAACAATTTGAATAATAAACGAATGATACAATTCGAATAGTAAACGAATGGTAATAAAAATTCTAATAATAAATGAATGATAATAACAATTCGAATAATAAACAAATGATCTCAACTTGAATAATAAATGAATGATCTCAATTTGAATAATAAACGAATGATAATAACAATTTGAATAATAACAATAAACGAAGGATACAATTCGAATAATAAATTAATGATGTCAATTCGAATAATAAACGAATGATACAATTCGAACAATAAAGAATGATAACAACTCGAATAATAAACGAATGATAATAAAAATTAGAATAATAAATGAATGATAATAACAATTCGAATAATAAACAGATGATACAGTTCGAATAATAAACGAATTATGATATTCGAATAATAAACGAATGATAACAATTCAAACAAAACAAATGATTTGAATAATTTGAACAATACTTTTATTATGAATAAAAACTCAACACTATTGCAGAATCACTAAACCTGGCACAATAATGTTCAAACTAAATTAAAATATACAACTACACTACTTGAGGCGACCCTACAAGCAATAGTAAAACTAATAAAAGGGGTTCCTAACTAATAATTAAATGTTGGCCAAACCATTAATCATCAGAAAGGGTTATGAATCAATCAATTATGCCAGATTTATTAATTAATGAAAGTGTTATTTTTGTTATCAAAGTGTTATTATTGAAAGATCAATTTTCTCCAATAAAATAAAATAAAATAGAATGATAATGACGACTAATTGACAATTACTAAAGTTAAATGTCAAAAATGAGTCACTGATGATGTCATGATTAAATGATATCAGATGAAATGTTTTTGTCATAATTAATTAAAAATAAAATTTATATTCATTGAAATGTCAGATGGTAGTCAGCTTCAATTTGTAAATGTTAACTCAAGTGTTGATGATAATTTGTATCGCACCAATTCCATTCAATTCATAGAAGATTTTGATTAACTTTCTTTGAAATCAATTAATTAGCTGAATAAACCCTGAACTAGGGATAAATCTGTTTTTCCTTTTATTTATCAGATCAACTCACTTATTTCACACATCAAAAAACCATGCTTATTGATCCAGAATTAAAAGGGCACAACAATCATGATTGTTATATTTGTAGTCCTACTCTAAACCTAGAAAATTATCATCAAATCCATCATCTTTAAATACTTTTAGTTCTCAACCCCATAATAATTTATGAGGAGGAAGTAAAAAAGGAGTATTACTTGAAAGTATTTCTTTAAATGAAACCCATCAGAAGTTCAAGATGCTCAAAATCTTAATGATGAATCTAAATCATTACAGCAAGATTACTTTTTAATGCAATGCTTAGAATACAAAAACACAATAACTCAAACATTAGTAAACATTTGGATAAAATTGATAGTTATTTAGATAAGACAATAAAATATTAATGTAATCAAATGGCGGAATGCTGCAAAAATCACAGAATGTGCATTTAAAAAACTAAAACGGAAAATACTATCCCTTAATACTGTTGTATGTGAAATTCAAATTAGCCAATCAGAATTTCACCCCACTCTATAATATTTCAATTTCACATACAACAAGTATTCTTTAATGGTAACAAAATAATTTTTGATCACGATCTTGCATTCTTATTGGTCAATCGGCCAACTTTTAAGAAGATTTTGCGAAAACCACAAGGACAACAACCGAATTTTTATTTATAGACCAATCAGCTGAGCCTCTAAGATCATTTTCGTACTAGGGAGTGATATTCCCAGAAAAAGTTTTTTGTAACAGAAAAAATTTTTAGTTATCAATAGCCGAAAAACCGTTATAAAAAATCACACTACTATGAATGCTTTTTTTATATTAATATTTTTTTCCTCCGCAACTCGGAAAGTCAATATATTTGGTTTGTATAGAAGTAAGATTTTCCTTAACAATGTCCCCAAGGATTAAACAATTCGAAGATAGTTTAGAAATAATAAAAAAACGGTTTGGAAAATTACAACAAGATTTAGTTTTAAAAGAAGATTATATCAAATATCTTGAAAAAGAGATATTAATTCGTAATGAGAAACTAGATCCATTGCGTCAACAATTTCTGATATTAAAATACAGTTAAAAAAGGTCTTCGAGACCTCTAAAAGTCAAGAGAAATATATAAATCATGTGGAAGGGTTATTGGAAAAATTTCAAGATGATATTGATATACTTGACAAAAAAATAAAAATCCTAATATCATATAAAAATGATAATAAAATTATAGATATGGCATAAACTATTAGACCACCAGGATCTCATGAGAAAGTAATGCCACATTTCATTTTAATCGTATTCAACGTAAACTAGATAATATAAGATATTATATACAAACCCAAATCGAACAGTTTAAGATCAAATGATATTTTAGATAAACTTGGTATAATATCTAAATCCGCAAGAATTAGCCCAAACAAGGGATCAGAATGATATACAGACAATTACAAGATTAAATAATCGTCCCAATTATACACAGAGAGATTTAGATTTGTTTCGTTTGGCTTATCAAAATGAAATAAAAGAATGCCGTCACTGGTACTTTTCTATAAAGATAAACACAGACATATTATAGAACTGCAATGTTATAAATTACATTTATTGTTACAACGATATAAAAAACAATTAATTGTATATCGTAACGAAAAGGTTCTTGATCAGTGTTGCGTGATCAAATATATAGTATAGATATGAGAAATGAAAGAATAAGGAGAAAAGATTCTTGACAAATAATTTTAAATCAAAACCAAAATATTTTAAATTTACAGCAACAAATTTTTGTGCTAAATAATAATATACATATAAATCTCAATATGGCAGATTTTAGACGTTTACCAGTATTAAAATTAATACAACCCACCCTTGCAAAGTTTTCCACCCTATATTAGCCAAGAACCTCTCGATGATTATACAATCATGGGCATTTTCAGAAGGACATATGGCAGTTCTTGAAAATGCAAATGCAGGAGATTTGATGATGCGGTTAAGTGTAATATTTTAAAATCTAAAATGGCCGGAAAATATGCTCCAGTACCTGCTAATGATCCCTATACTCATGGTGACCCTGCTATTAATTCTCCAGCAACTTTGCGGGTATGTGCAAGAGCAAAATATCAACGAGAAACAGTTGGGACTAAACAATCTGCAATTCAAAAATTAACTCAAGAAAAATTTCAACCCTTTGATACCCCAGATACCTACTCGACCTCTTTTATTAGGTGTAGCTAATAATGATACTCAAGTTTTAGGATTTCTTAAAAGCCAATTACTAGGCGAACTTTATACATAGATGAGATCCAATGCTCCAGCAGGTATTAATGAATTTTTTATTGCATTAAAAAATATGTGGTTGGAACGTTCTCCAAATTTGTATGGAGGCTCTATTTCTAATCAAATCTCTCAAATGCCATCTATTACACCCCAATCAACAATTACATCAACAGAAATAATGAAACCAGAATCTGAATTACAATCAAATAATAGTGGTATAACAAAAACCGAAATAGAAAATATAGTAAATTCACAATTAGATTTAAGAATCCAAGAAACCCAAACACAGTCTCAACAGCCTACTTCATAACCTGTCTCTTTACAATTTCGACCACAGCCTGTAGGGACATTCCAAAATGTACAAAAAGAAAATATGAATAGATTTTTACAATGTATTAGTGGAGAAATTCCAGAATTTATTCCTGTTCCTCCTCACTCTTTACATTTAAAACCGCAGGTAAAAAAAGAATACCACTTCAGATACTGATAGTGTCGAAGAAATTACTAAATGTTTGGCAAATATGTCATTGAAAATGGCTAAAAATATTAATGTTGTTGCTAAAACCGTTTAAAAATCTCAGAGATATTGCTCAAATTGTGGTAGGATAGGACATAATTTTCGTAGCTGTTCTCGAAAGAAAAATAAAAGTAAATCTAAAAAGAAAGGTAAGATAAATAATGCTCATATAGATTCTGATACAGACACCTCCACTAATGATTCAGAATCTGATTCTGAATCAACATCTGAATCCGGTTTTGAGGATACCTCTTCTGAGTCTGGAAGCATAAATGTCAATATTTCTAAAGTAAAAAAAAAGTGAAAAATTCCAATAAATTATCTCCACAAAAACGGACTAAGACCAAAAAACTAAAAATAAAGAAGGAAGAAGAAGCAAGGCCTTAATTCTCTGATTTACCCAAAACATATAAAGCAAAACAGACCACTTTAGAAGAAACTATTCGTAAAATTATTCAAAGTGAACTCAAAGAAATTTTACCATCATATATAATACAAGATCTTCCATTTGATATCAAAAACCAACTTCTATTCAAGATAAAGCTATAATTGATTCAAAAAACTCTGCCTTACAGAAAGGTAATAATATTATAAAATATCGTGATATAGTCTCATAAATACCTGATTCAGATGAAGAAGAAGAAACTTTAGATGGCCCTATGAGGATAGATTTTGTTCAAAAGAAAGAACCAGCTACAGATGTTGTTACTACTAAATGTAAAATTAAAAGATTAATGATTCCAACCACTACAGTAGACCCTGGTGCAAATCTTCCAATTATGACAGAAGATATAGCAAAACGTTTAAAACTTGTAATTGATACAAAAGAAAAACATGATCTCAGTGGGATCGCTACAACACCTACTGAATCTATTGGAATTGTTCGTAATGTACCAGTGACCTTTACCCGAGGTTGTACTATACATTCCGACTTTGCAGTTGTTAGTTATCACAAACCAATGTTGATTTTACCTAATACACTACGTGATAAATATGATTATGATTTACACTTCCTGGACAAAAGTATAAGTAAAAATTAATCCCCATATCAAATACTATAATATACTGAAGTTTCACCGCATATAAATAAAAACATTGTTGTTTTACAGACCTTAAAAGATAAAAATGAAAATTTCGGAATTTTCTGAAAAATGTTTGACTCGAAAATTGACCACAATAACAATTTCTAACGACCTTTGTGGTATAAGTAAAAAATGTGTCTCATGTTTGAAATTAGTTATTTGCAGAATTTCACAAAGTTTGCCATACTATTTTTCAATTTATGAACAAAAATACTAAACGGATTGATTTTTTCCAATTTTGAATATTAAAAAAAATTAGATTGTATGCCACGAAGGGTTGATGCTGTTTTAGAAGCAGAGAACCCCGACAAGATATTGATTTTTTTTTAATAAATATAATCAATTAAAATAGTTTCATATATTAATTAGTGAGCAGTTTGAGGTTGAATCATTTTGTAAGATTTTTTACAATTTATTTTTTTCCTCATTAATTAATTCACCAAACGCTCTAAAATTTTAAAAGTAACTGATTTAAACATGAGACACATTTTTTACTTATACCACAAAGGTCGTTAGAAATTGCTATTTTGGTCAATTTTCGAGTCAAACATTTTTCAGAAAATTCTGAAATTTTCATTTTTTACCTTTTAAAACAACAATGTTTTTATTTATATGCGGCGAAACTTCAGTAAATTGTAGTATTTGATATGAAGATTAATTTTTACTTGATAAGCAGATGATAGTAAAATCTTTAGTTCTTGTCATGTCACTTTATTCATAAAAAATCAACAACTAATTATTATTATTATTACACATGTATGTGTTGTACAAATTTTTTTTTGGAACAATAATTTATTTTTGACAGATTCCAAGATGACAAAACATGAGTTGGGGCGTTACACATCAGTATAAACACAAACATAGTTGAGCACACTTATAAAACACTATATGTAAGGATTTTTTATTGGGTGAAATGTAGATCATTTTTAATAATAAAAATAAACATTCTCCTAAAATTGC